ACACAGTAGTTACTGTATAATCTACCCTCTCAAATTCATAAATGTTGTAGTAATTAATGTGTTTTTGTCTTTAATTCAGTTTTAGTGGTTTTAATGTTTGATTTGTTACCTCATATGTGTACGTTTTTTCTTTTACATACAGTATGTTTAAATGGTTTTCTATGTTTGTTTTTTCTTAATTATCTATAAATAATATCAACCTACCAGGTTGCATTTTCCCTTTTAAATAAATACAAAGATTATTACAACTATTTTGTCATATTCTCACTGATTCATCAAAATCTCTTTTATAGTGAAGTTATTCAAAGAAATGATTCATAGACTCAAAGAAGTTGATTCTGTTATATGTCACAGTCTCTTTTTCTGATGTTTTCTCTTCATGGTTAATTGGCTTAATAATTTATTTTATCATCAGCTACATGGACATGGATATCATAAAGTTATCAAAGCATATATGTAACATTTAATTTTAATGATCTTTGATTATTTTTGCATAAACTGATCAGAATATCTTCGAGGACGTTTGGCCTTTAACAGGAACATGCACTCACCATTTCCGGACACTAGATGGCAGCAAAGCAAAGTCTCTGCAAAATATTTGTACCTTTTTGAAGAGCACCACGGAGCTGCCTTTCACCTCATACTTCTGGAAAACCTCTGGAGTGGCTGTGACTCCAAACTCTGTGTCAGGCGTGTCCATAGCAACTTCCTTAAACACCTGAGCAGCTTCACTATCCAAACTCTGCAGGAGAGGGCGAGAGCATGGAGTTACGAGCACTCATCGATGATTGCATGATTTAATGTTAGCACTGAAGGACAGACCTCGAAGAATCCCACTACAGTGATGTTATGGGCGTCTATGAACTGAGCTGCAGAATCTGCAGACTCCAGGGCTTCAGCACCGGCGCCAGTGCGACGCTTCATCCACTGGATTATCCCCGTCGTCGTCCTCTTACCTGCAGAGAAAAGGTCGACATAAAGCGGCTGTTTCAGGTGCTTTGAAGCAAAGAGTCCCCAACATCAGCTGTAGCTCAGCTTTGAGCAGAAATGATAACAAGAGAGTAGAAACAGGCAGTCAATGAATTCAATTAAGGAACAGTCAGAAAGGTAATGAGTATTTGTAATGGCTGCTAAAAGTCTGGCTTAATTAATAAATGTTGGAATTGCTAGCTAGCTTTTATTTTTAGTACTAGCTAAAAGGTTATGGGTAAATATTTGAAACAGCTAGTCAAAGTCATTTTATATCGAGGGGCACATACCGCCAACCCAGCTTTGACCTTAAGTAATCGGTCGGTGGTTTAACTGCATATTGCTAAATGTGTAGTTAAATAAATAGAAGTTTTGCTGTAGTAAATGAAACAAATCTGTCAGAATGACTTAAATTGTAAGAAATAAATGTGTAAAAGTACAGAAAAAGTTGTGGTAGCTTATCGTGCAGACTGTCCTGTAATTATAAAGCACACAGGTTTCATTAATTCACAAAAAATACATTTTTTTTAAACTTTGGACCCATTTATTTCTACAGCCAATAGTGAAAAAACAAGAACTTTACTGGTGTTTGTTTGTTTATCTGTCACTTAATTACACGTGAAGTGCAAATGGCCTTGGGGAAGGTTTTTAGCAGAAAAAAAGTTAAAAGCCCCAAATTGTCATCTAAAAAACATTTCCAAACCTGTCCAGTGGCTGGATTGGACTCTTTGCTGGAAAAATGAATTTACAGTAATTATTTTAATTTTAAAAAGGGTAGAATGAGTTCAAATCAACATGTTTTAATATGAGAAGTGATGCTGATGAAGGGCTACTTTTTGAAAATATATTTTTTGGTCACATTAGATTCTTATTGTAATAAAGTTGAGCGAAAGACCAGTAAAGACCTCTAGGCAGATTCCAACCCTTATTGCATATGGGTCAGCTTTACTCAGTAAAGCAGTACCCATCCCACAGGCCTTTGTGGGAACCACAGCTTTGACACACAAAGACTCATAAAAATTATAATAATTAAAAAAGATCTAACACCAACTGGGTTATACAGTAGGTTAAACACACACATTTGGTTCAGTGTGCAAACTGATAGATGATAACTCTCGAAGGTGCTGGGAGGTGGAAAAATGCAAACTATACACAATCAGGTGATGATGTTCACTGATGATGCATAAAGAGCTGCTTGTGTTTGTGTATAAGTGTGTGTGTTCACCGGTGTATTCGACAGGCTCTTTGCGGTCTCCATTGATGAAGAGTTTCAGAGTGGGGTAGCTTCCGACGTCGAACTCTTCGGCCAGCTCTTTCTCTTCCGTGGCGTCCACTTTGGCCAAGCGCAGCTCCGGCTCCTCCTCCTTCAGCTTCTCGGCAGCCTCGGCGTAAATTGGCTCCAGCTGTTTACAGTGACCGCACCAAGGAGCATCTACAGTACATATAAAAACACATGAACACACACAGTTCAATGGAAGTTACAGAGAGAGTGAGAGACAGAGGGAGACACTACAGGGGTTTGTCCACAGCAGGCCTCTGCTGCTATCAGCAGCTCCTGTCCAGATACTCATGGAAATGAGCAGCTGATAGAAAAGTGGCAGTTGGGCTCCGTCTTTCTCCCCCATGTCTCATTTCCTTGTCCTGGCCTCTCCGCTTCAGTTCATCTGTGGGAGAGTTGAACCCGCACAACACCTGGTTAGGATGTGTCACGTGTGCGATAATGCCTCGGCGCTGTTAAAGGCTGGGAAAGAAAACTTAGATTTTCTCTCTTTTGTAAATTGATCAAATTTTAAATTCCTTGCCAGCAAAATGAGATAATCTTTTCACTTCCTGCCTTATTTTCTAACCTTCTTTGATCAGTTTAGATTAGATTATGTTCCCAGGATGAACAAGGAGCATTAATTCTTATTTTACATTTTAGTTTTCATGTTATTACATAAAATCTGCACAACTTCTTCTTTATGTGGCACCTTATGCCAACCTTTGCTGTCACTGATGTTATTTGTGCATAAAAGCAACTCAAATTTAATAACAATTGTGTTGAAGACAGAACAAAGCGATAAGGGAAAATTCATCACAAGTTATTAATGGCATCTAAAGAAGGAGAAAGAGCTCATTTATCATAATAATCAGGATTTTGTTCCAGACTATAAGACATCCCACTTACAGAATTCAACCAGTAAATACTGATTCTCGCTGAGGGCTCTTTCAAAGTTGTTGATGTGAAGGATCATGACGTTATTCTCCTCCTCTATCTCAGTTGTTTTCTCTTTCTTTGGTGCCTCTGCCTCCTCCTCCGCCTCCTCGGTTGTCTCCTCCGATGCCTCCTCAGACGTCTCCTCTTGCGACTCTGTCTGGCTGTCAGTGCTGTCCTCGGCCTGCGTGCAGGAGGCCCACAGCAGCAGGCCCAGCAGCGCTATGAACAAAAGCTTGTGAGTCTTCATGTCTGCGTCTCTGTCTGAGCTGCTCTGGTACCTGTGCTTAGGTGTAGGTGACCGTCAATGCGTGTGTCTTTTACTCTTTGTACGATTATTTATCTAAGATGAAGCGTGTGTGTCAGAATGTTACTGGCCTTCCCTGTCATCCAATCAGGCGTCACGCCTGCAGGGGAAACTTTCCAGTCTCGGCCAATCAAACGATGCCTTGTAGATTCAGAATTGGGTAAACTGGATGATCGACTGCTGTGTTTGATCACACGTACACCTACTCGTATGTTTGTGTTTCTTTTGTTTATAGCGTTTAAATAGACCTCCCCATACACCACATGGTAGCGTTAAAACGCTCCTTTTAACTTTAACTCCTCTTTCTGCTCCTTATCAAACCCTCATTTACCTAAAAACTCCCACAGTGATACTAACAAGTGGATTAACAACCATTTATCACACCCTTTATGTTTACTCAAACTACAGAGGCCACTTTCCACAGTTGCCCCTGTCATGACCTCCAATTTAAACCCACAGCACCATTAATCAAGAAAGATAGCAAGTTTCTTTGTTTTCTCTTCAAGCTAGCAACATGAAATATCACTGAAGCTGAGTGCTGTCAACATAGTGCTGTCTTTGTCATGCAGATGCTTTGCGTTTTACTGTGCGTGTCGATGTGCGCTTCAGTTAATCTAAAACCAGTGCATGTAACACTGACATACGCACAGCTCACAGCGCTGAGTCTTTCTCCACAGGCAGAGGTTGTCCAGCTGTTTTCAGGATTTTAAAACTTGCTTCAAAAGTTGAGATTGAAGTTTGAGAAAGTCTTATTTATTTTGCTGAATTCAGTTTTTTTATATAGCGCCAAATGAGAACAACAGTCATCTCAAGGTTTATATTGTAAGGTAAAGTTTTTATGAGCAAGCACTTGGCAACAGTGGGAAAGAAAAACTCCCTTTTAACAGGAAGAAACCTCTGGCAGCACCAGGCTCAGGGAGCTGTGGCCGGTTGGGGTTGATGAGAGGGAGACGGGACAAAAGATGTGCTGTGGAAGGGAGGCACATGTGTTTCTGTTTCTAACTTTAAAACTCAATGAATATCTTTGAACTTTATTGAACTACGTCCAGGTTTCTCAATGTTGCTCTGAGATTCAAAGAAGCAGGTTATTGCTTCCAGCATCCTCTCTGTCTCCATTTTTAGTTTCCTGTCGTCTCTCTAATACTGACTCGTAGATAAAGGTAAATTGCGCATTAATGTGAAGGGTTTCACTCCAGGAAAAAGCTGCAAAAGAAAAGTTTGTTTTGCTGCCCGTCTGTTTAACCTTGGACAGCATCTATGTACAGTAGAGATACCGTGAGATAAACGATGGGTGTGGTGAGTAGTGTTTTCTTTACACCTGTAACCCAATGCTGTAGCCACACACAGCAGGGATGTTACAGCGTCCTGGAGTGCACCTGTGCATCCATGCGGCAAAACAAGAAGTTCAACTCTGTAACTTGAGTTGTTTGGTTTTTTTAACAGCTCCACGACTGTATGACCAAAACGATGATGGATTTATTCGAAAAAATTACATTTTTCGACCAAACACAGCCATATTTGACAAAATCCAAACTGTGAATTAGGGAGTAAATAACAGCAACAAAGAGTCAACACTCATGTTAATGAATCTATTTTATAAAATATCAACAGCAGCTCTACAAAATATGATGCAACAGAAATAAAGCGTAACAGTTTCACATCCGACTATGTTGCAGTAGTAGAGGACACGGTGGGTCCTGGTACATTTTTTTATTAAACGAAATCTCACTCTGCTCAGATGGCAGGTTCTTTGTCCCGACCCTTTCAAACTGCAGAAAACTGTATTTGTAAAAGGATCATAAGTGGAGTCTTTTCAGTCCCAGGCTGAGGCTGGCGTGATCAGTGCTGCATGTTTGTGTTCTCCGTCAGCGTGTGAGTGAGCTCCGGGTTTGGATCCCAGTTTGCCAACAGGTCGCTGAAGTCTGGCTGAGTGCTGTCGAGGGTGTGCATGTTGTGCTGCGCTGGGACGTTATAGTGCATGTGCGCGTTCTCGTCCGTGCGTGTGAGGTCCTGCGAAGGCGAGGCGCCGGTCCCGTGTGCGATGTCAAGCGTGTTACTCAGATTGACCAGAGGGCAGCTGGGGATCGGCTCGGTCCAGAAACTGAGAGGCAGGTGTCGTTTGATCATCGGTTGGCCTCGGCCCTTGCTCGGGGCCCTGAGGTCAAACAGTTCAGCCAGGGGCCCCAGCCCACTGCTGTTGCCTTTTGCAGCCCCGGCTCTCTGCTCTTCAGGACAGGCCCTGAAGCTGTTCTCCTGCATCTCAGGACTTCCTCTCGCTATTCTCATCAGGTCGTCATAGTAACGCAGACGCCCACCGGTGGTGATGGAGATGGAGTCGCTGTAGATGTCGCACGCCTCTCGGTCACCGGAGCAGCGACCGAAATAGCGCTGCACATCGCGACTGATGGCGTCGGCGAACCTCAGCAGCTGCTTGGTCACATCCAGAGCATGGTGAGCGGGGTTTAAGAAAACCTCCTCCAAACCTTCTTCCTCTTCCTCCTGAGCCTCAGATTCTTCGTCCTCCTCGTCTTCATCTGCCTGTCTCTCTTCTTCGTCTTCTCTCTCCTCTGGCTTCTCTTGCAGCGCCTTCTCGTAGGCACCGTCCTTACACGGAGAATGCTGAAAAATCATGGGGAAGTAGGCCGGAGTCGGAGCCTGGATGAGAAAGTTCCTGATGACACCTGCAGCCATGTCGGCTTCTAATCCTGGTGAGATGAATGCAGAAAGAGGGACAGTAAGAACTTGATTGGGAATAACAAAAAAAGGAAAAAAACGCTTATATTGAGTTTCCTTACCTTACCTAGCTGCCAGGTTTAGTGTCTGTCCAAGAATAAAGGTCTGGCCTGGGTCACTGATGGATTCACTCGATGTGCCCTCCAGGACTGGCCCTATATATACCTCCGCACACGCCAGTAGGCGTGTGTGTGACTGGCGTCGGATGAGGCAGCTTCCAGGACAAATATTTGCGCGCGGGATTGGTCAAACACACATTGTTTACTTTATCACTGGGCAACCGGGGAGGGGGGCCGAAGCTAATGGACCCTCTGCTAGGGGATGATGGAGATTTGTTATCCAGACGCGGACACAAACACATCATTGCCTTTTTCCGTCCCTGTTATCAGGCTAGTTAAAGGATAAAAGAGCATGAAATCAAATCACATGCTGTTTTGACTTTTAAAGGGGAACACTTTGAACCCACATCAGCCCACCACATGCCCCCTACGACAGCAGGCTGGCCAGACACACTCTCCCTAACGAACTACACAGTGTAATATTCTTTAAAGCACCCAAGTAACGCGCCATCGGCCGCTGGTTGACTTGGAGAGTAAAACAGAGAAAATCAGAGTGCCCTCAAGGAATAACCTGATAAGCAGGTGAGCTGTTAGCATCTCATGGTATAAAACCACTCAACCAATTAAAGCTGACAGGGAGGAGATATTTTATCATTTATTGTCAATATACAAAAAGACCAAAACTACAAACTCTACGGTGTTGCACCATCTTTCTATGATTTACAACTTCCCTGGTTTGTGTTGGGATTTGGCCTCCTGAGCTTATTCATTCAAAAAGATTTTAAAATAGATATTCAGATACCAGATGTCCTATCACATAGTTTTAAAGTAAAGTTTTAAAGACCTGCACCACCAATTGTGAAGTCCATAAAATGCCGTTCAGCCTCTCGGTTTGATGTAGACCTAAAATAATGGCCACAAAGACAAAAGTAGGTTTGTTTTCAGTGCTGTTTTTCCAAAAAGCTACCAACATAAACCCATGTGCTTTTCTAACTTAAAACTTAACTCATGCATCATTAGTTCCCCAGACATGGATTAAGGCTAGTCTTGGACTAAAGGCTT